GTTATTTAGTACAGTTCTTTGTTTGTGATTATGTAGCACCAGTCCACAAGGTTCAAAGAAGGATGATCTTTGCCAAGACACTCAGGCTTCATTATTATTTTTTTGACTTACATGTGATATCCATTTTAGTTGTTACTGCTGTTGAAAGTCCTCAATTGATGTGGTTTCTGTTATTTGGTAAATTTTTGTTTGTGATTCTGTAGCACCAGTCCACAAGGTTCAAAGAAGGATGATCTTTGCCAAGACACTCAGGCTTCATTATTTTCTCTTTGACTTACATGTGATATCCATTTTAGTTGTTACTGCTGTTGAAAGTCCTCAAGTGAAGTGGTTTCTTTTATTTATTTCTTTGTTTGTGATTATGTAGCACCAGTGACAAGGTTCAAAGAAGGATGATCTTTTTCCAAGACACTCAGCTTCATTATTTTCTCTTTGAGTTACATGTGATATCCATTTTAGTTGTTGCTGCTGTTGAAAGTCCTCAAGTGATGTGGTTTCTGTTATTTTTATTACAGTTCTTTGTTTGTGATTCTGTAGCACCAGTCCACAAGGTTCAAAGAAGGATGATCTTTGCCACATTTTCAGGCTTCATTATTTTCTCTTTGACTTTACATGTGATATCCATTTTAGTTGTTGCTGCTGTTGAAAGTCCTCAAGTGATGTGGTTTCTGTTATTTGGTACAGTTCTTTGTTTGTGATTCTGTAGCACCAGTCCACAAGGTTCAAAGAAGGATGATCTTTGCCAAGACACTCAGGCTTCATTATTTTTTCTTTGACTTACATGTGATATCCATTTTAGTTGTTGCTGCTGTTGAAAGTCCTCAAGTGATGTGGTTTCTGTTATTTGGTACAGTTCTTTTGTTTGTGATTCTGTAGCACCAGTCCACAAGGTTCAAAGAAGGATGATCTTTGCCAAGACACTCAGGCTTCATTATTTTCTCTTTGACTTACATGTGATATCCATTTTAGTTGTTGCTGCTGTTGAAAGTCCTCAAGTGATGTGGTTTCTGTTATTTGGTACAGTTCTTTGTTTGTGATTATGTAGCACCAGTCCACAAGGTTCAAAGAAGGATGATCTTTGCCAAGACACTCAGGCTTCATTATTTTCTCTTTGACTTACATGTGATATCCATTTTAGTTGTTGCTGCTGTTGAAAGTCCTCAAGTGATGTGGTTTCTGTTATTTGGTACAGTTCTTTGTTTGTGATTCTGTAGCACCAGTCCACAAGGTTCAAAGAAGGATGATCTTTGCCAAGACACTCAGGCTTCATTATTTTCTCTTTGACTTACATGTGATATCCATTTTAGTTGTTGCTGCTGTTGAAAGTCCTCAAGTGATGTGGTTTCTGTTATTTGGTACAGTTCTTTGTTTGTGATTCTGTAGCACCAGTCCACAAGGTTCAAAGAAGGATGATCTTTTGCCAAGACACTCAGGCTTCATTATTTTCTCTTTGACTTACATGTGATATCCATTTTAGTTGTTGCTGCTGTTGAAAGTCCTCAAGTGATGTGGTTTCTGTTATTTGGTACAGTTCTTTGTTTGTGATTCTGTAGCACCAGTCCACAAGGTTCAAAGAAGGATGATCTTTGCCAAGACACTCAGGCTTCATTATTTGAAATATAATTTCTTTGACTTACATGTGATATCCATTTTAGTTGTTGCTGCTGTTGAAAGTCCTCAAGTGATGTGGTTTCTGTTATTTGGTACAGTTCTTTGTTTGTGATTTGTAGCACCAGTCCACAAGGTTCAAAGAAGGATGATTTTGCCAAGACACTCAGGCTTCATTATTTTTCTTTGACATGTGATATCCATTTTAGTTGTTGCTGCTGTTGAAAGTCCTCAAGTGAGACACTGGTTTCTGTTATTTAGTACAGTTCTTTGTTTGTGATTCTGTAGCACCAGTCCACAAGGTTCAAAGAAGGATGAAGGATTTCATTTTTGAACCAAGACATTCAGGCTTCATTATTTTTCTTTGACAACATGTGATATCCATTTTAGTTGTTGCTGCTGTTGAAAGTCCTCAAGTGAATGTGGTTTCTGTTATTTTGGTACAGTTCTTTGTTTGTGATTCTGTAGCACCAGTCCACAAGGTTCAAAGAAGGATGATCTTTTGCCAAGACACTCAGGCTTCATTATTTTCTTCTTTGACTTACATGTGATATCCATTTTAGTTGTTGCTGCTGTTGAAAGTCCTCAAGTGATGTGGTTTCTGTTATTTGGTACAGTTTTTGTTTGTGATTCTGTAGCACCAGTCCACAAGGTTCAAAGAAGTGATCATTATTTAAAACTTACATGTGATATCCATTTTAGTTGTTTTGTTGAAAGTCCCAAGTGATGTGGTTTCTGTTATTTGGTACAGTTCTTTGTTTTGATTCTGATTCTGTTCAAAGAAGGATGATCTTTGAAAGTCCTTCACAAGGTTAAAGTGATATCCATTTTAGTTGTTTTTGCTTTGAAAGTCCTCAAGTGATGTGGTTTCTGTTATTTGGTACACAGTTTTGTTTTGATTCTGTAGCACCAGTTCAAGGTTCAAAGAAGGATGATCTTTGCAAAGACACTCAGGCTTCATTATTTTCTCTTTGACTTACATGTGATATCCATTTTAGTTGTTGCTGCTGTTGAAAGTCCTCAAGTGATGTGGTTTCTGTTATTTGGTACAGTTTTTGTTTTGATTCTGTAGCACCAGTCCACAAGGTTCAAAGAAGGATGATTTTTGCCAAAGACATTCAGGCTCAGGTTTATTTTCTTTGACTTTACATGTGATATCCATTTTAGTTGTTGCTGCTGTTGAAAGTCCTCAAGTGATGTGGTTTCTGTTATTTGGTACAGTTCTTTGTTTGTGATTCTGTAGCACCAGTCCACAAGGTTCAAAGAAGGATGATCTTTGCCAAGACACTCAGGCTTCATTATTTTCTCTTTGACTTACATGTGATATCCATTTTAGTTGTTGCTGCTGTTGAACATCCTCAAGTGATGTGGTTTCTCTTATGTGAGATTCATTTTAACTGCTCCCCCACCCCGTTGAAAATCCTCACTTTTTGTGGTTAGTGTTATGTTATACAAGTCCTTGTATTTGATTCTGTATCCAATAATGGCATCCCAAATTTCCAGGAACCGGTTTTATAAAGGCAAGTAATCTTTACGAGCCTATTGTGCTTATTTTTTTTTGAATTTGAGAATGGAAAAAATATCACTTTATGGTATAAAAAAAGAATTAAAGCATTTTGATAATTTAATATATATTTATTAAGCTACTTCCAAATTAAAACTCTGTTCTCATCATATTTCTGTTCTGTTTTTCACTCTAGAATCATCAGCTCTGTTATGCTTTCTTAGACACATTGAAACTGAATTGTTGTAGTCCTAAAAATCCAATGGAAGACCTATCAAATTTATAAATAGATTTGTCACATTTTTTCCTAAAAGACTATTTCTGTGACTGAATAATTTATGTTCATCACAGAAAACAATCTTTCAGTCTCCGAAAAACTTACAGCAATGGTATGAATTATATTTTTATCTCTTTGGATATTACCATTCTTTGGTACGTATATGTTTATTGTAAGTTACTTTTTCGCAGAAAGTCTTTATTTTTGTGGTGGGAGGTGTGTGTCTATTTGAGGTTAACATTGTACCCAGACAATCGTCTATTACTGTATAAGATTATTTTCGGATTATTTAACTGGTTATCTGAGATTTTATAATTTTAAGAATCGGTTTGCGTGAACCGATAGGATGCCGTAAATCTCTGTAGCACCAGTCTACAGTGTTCGAAGAATTTTGGTCTTCACTGAGACCGCCAGGCTTCACTCCCTCGAAGCCTTTTTTAACCATTGATCTGTGCGGTTGTATACATATGATAGTTTAAATATTTCTGAACGGGTTTGGTACCATGCATGTCGTCCATAGGAAAGATTCGATCTGATGAGGTTATTTAATAAGTAAAGGGGATAATGCCACGAGAACGCAGGGGTCGCAAGGGGTGTAAGTGAAAAGCGAATGAGCAAACTGAGAATCCGGGAGATCAAGGAAAGGACAAAAAGGAACAGGGTTCGAGAAAACGGAAGATGGCGTTGCATTTAAATTGTTCAAGAATGTAATTAATAATGAAGCCAGAGATCGAAAAGGAGTTCCACAAGTTGGAAGTGCGAATAAAAAAAAATGTTGCATCTAACTTGTTAAACGCTGAAATCTCGTTAACAATCTAGAAGCACGCTTAATTTTAAAAACTTTATGGGCAACTGAAGATGACCAGAGGGTTATGGTCGAAGCGTCGTGTCTGAAATAACATCTATATCAACTGAGATGAAAAAAATAGTTCGAAATAATACAAGGAAAGAGATTCGTTAAAAGTTTAATATTACTCCATTTTCGGGTTCAAGCCTTCCTGTTGGCATAGAAACGTAGCCCTATTGATGTTTAAACGTTTTTAAACATGTGTTTTCAGATAAATGTTTTGATTTCATATTGATGGACAACTAAAAATGAACAGAGGGTTCTTCGTAGGAAACGTCGTGTTTATAAAAACATCTATATCAAATCAAATCCCCTTGAAGCTTAAACTTTTTTAAACATGAGTTTTAAGATAAATTTTTTGATTTCATAATAATGGACAACTGAAGATGACCAGAGGGTTCTTGGTCGAAGCGTCATGTTTATACTAACATCTATGTCAAATCAAATCACCTTGAAGCTTAAACTCTTTTAAACGTGAGTTTTCAGATAAATGTCTTGATTTCAAAATAATAGACAACTGAAGATGACCAGAGGGTTCTTGATCGAAGCGTCATGTTTATAGTAACATCTATATCAAATCAAATCCCCTTGAAGCTTAAACTTTTTTAAACATGAGTTTTCAGATAAATGTTTTGATTTCATACTAATGGACAACTGGGGATGACCAGAGGGTTCTTGGTCGAAGCGTCGTGTTTATAATAACATCTATATCAAATCTAATCCCTTTGAAACTGAAACGATTTACGCTTTCATTTGTCTCTGGC